TGACAGCAGTATTGCCTTTACAAATGCCACTACTTGTTAAACTAAAAGATGAAACAAATAATTGAACCGAAATAATAGATAGTACATCGACCACAACTTAATTTATTTATGGTCTAGTCACCAATATAGGCTGGATGATATATATATTTTACTCTGCACGAAAATTCATCTCAAAAACCCGATAAAATAGCAATATGGAAATTAATTTCTGGTATACTCTGATGGAAAATAATTTAATATTCTATCATTTTAAATAATAAATCTTGTTTGACAAACAAAGTTCAAGGAAGTATTATTTTTTATGAAACAACTACGTTAGTGATTATTAAACGGATATTATAATTTTAAATTATACAAAGAGACAATTAAAATATTCTGAAAAGTAAAATAATTGTATGTTTCAAATTGTTATTTTCAGATTCAAAAATATTAATTCAATATTTTATTATGTATTAATATATTTATTTGTAATTTATCAGGAATGTATATTAGACAACGTTTTATGATTAATGGAAAGAAACTATGGACATTTTTATTTTTTAATTATTTTTAATACATTTGATAAATTTAAAATAAGTAAAATTCATAAATACATTATTAAATGTTTATATTTTAATATATGATTTGATCTATTGGAGTTTTTGTGAAGTATTATACTTAAATGACAAACTATTCAATTATAGCTTATAAAGGGTATTTTGTTTATTTAATGATAATATATTTAATATTACGTGGGAAAAAAGTTAATGATAACTAACCTTTCCTCTAAAACATAGTAATAATAAATAATAATAAGAAAATAAATAACGAGAACTATCGAAATCGATCAGAATTAACAATAACATATTTCTTTATGAACCTAGATTGTTGATAAAAAAATGAAACATATTTCAGATAATATTTTTATTATGTACAATTCACATTGTTGCATTACTAATATTGTAAAATAAATTTTGTTTTATTTAGTGTGTAAATTCGTTATTGATGAATACGCGTATTAAACACTAAAAAGTAGATGTTAAATACCTACGTTTATTTTTATTTTTTTATAAATAATTGTATTAATAATTTTACATTAGAAATAAAATTACATCAATTAAAATAATTCGAACGATTTGATGTAGATCATTTCGATTTATAAAATTAAATCGATTGAAAACTATCTTTTTAAAGATTTACTGAAGTTACTATGAAGTTCTGTAAATATAAATATTTTTAAAATACATTTAATTATATATTAATATTTATAATATGACATTGCGAATTTGATCTTGAGTTTTAATTTAGAGATGTGGGATGAGTATGATGTTTAATGTTCATTTAACGAATAATATAATAAGAAATAAACCAAGGATATTTTTTTTATTTTTTTTCTGAATCATTTTTATAATCGGAAAAGCCAGAGTAGTACCTACTTTTAAATTAATTTATGTATGGTTGAAAAATTAGAATATTTTTAATTTTTTGAAACCGAGACAATAATTTTAGAATTAGATTTTTATTTTTATATAATGAGCTAATACGGTCAAAATTATTAAATGTTTAAGTTATAAGACACTGCGGAAAAGAATGATCAGAAAAAAATATAAAAATACCTTCTATAATTTCATGCTAAAAATATGCGTATAATATTTTTATTCTTAATATACAAGTAGTTTATAGAGTATAATTCAATACAGCCGGTATATCAGCATTTTTTCATACTTCCAAACGCATTTGAGCGGCATTTGCGTTCAAAGGTAAAGTCCAATTCCACAATCGAATGACACTAAAACCTTTAAGCATCTCTGGGGACCGGATGTGCGTTCACAGATCATAGGGTTCTTAAAACGATCGTTCGAACCACTCGTAAAAAACGCATGGCCAATTTTCCTTGAGAATTCCCAAACTCAATTGTTGTTATACGTCATAATGGTATTATAGCCATCGATGTGTAATCGACTATAATAATATTTCAGATAAACTTCCATCACGCTAAAATACTACACTAAAGATATATTATAATAGTTCACCGAGATCTTCCTGGTCAAATCATATTACCATCAAAAAATAAAAATTCCTTTAACAGAAATATAAATAGTCTTATACCATTTTTTTAATTTCAACAAAAGTTTAATAATTTTAAAATAAAATATTTCAAAATACGTGTTTCAAATCTATATTAAATATTATAATACAACAACATTAAAAATAAAGGTAATTTTGTACAAAGATATTTTTCACATTTGTCAAACAAAATAAAAAGTTTATGACTTGTAACATGTTACACTGCCATATTTCCAAAAAATAACGATGACGTTCAGTTTTAATATTTTATTTATAATTTATATTTAAACTAAACACTAAAGGAACATTCTTGAAATTGAATTCTTATACCTATGTAAAAGGTGTACTACTTTATGAAACCAAAGATAAGTGTTTTTTTATTCGTTTTGACCAAATATTTAGAAATATATGTAATTTGATCATTTTTTAATTAAAATAATATATATTTTTTTTTTCATTAGTAATACACAGTTTTTATTAAATTGTCAATTTGTATTGTTTTATTTAAATTTTATTTAAACTGGTTATTATTATAAAAGATAATTAGAACGAATACATATTTTTAATTTGAAATTCAAAGTTTCATTCGGAGATTTCCATATTTAAATCAAAAAATTAAACTGAACATTAATATAAGTAAAACAGGTAAATAAATCTAAGATATAGAAAAAACATTACATTGTATATATTATAATATACATTATATTTATACAGTTATTATATTAATCATATTTTATGATTTAAAATATTAGTATTTTTATGTATAATAAATAATAATAGATTTTAATAAATGTATCTCAATTAAATTTACTTATGTTAGTGTTAACATAACTTGATGGATATACTAAAAAAAAAATAATTGTATTATGTGAGTTAAAAATATGATTTGTTTGTTCGGTTATAATTTTCAGTTTTTTCTTATTTTCTTAATGAAATTTCAAAGTTGTTGAACAGCGAATACTTTTGTGATATCAGATATTTCAATAAACTATTAGGTGTACTTGATTTTATGAGACGAAAACTCGTAGAAATTTTTCTAAATCATAAATTTTAAATGAGAGCATAGATCGTGTTTTATAAATAAAAATTCGTAATGTAGTCGTGTTTCTATTAGAAGTAAATTTATATCAATTTAATGTTATAAAAATAAGTTTGAACATTTCATGTTTTTCAATGAATAATTTTGAGTTGCTTGAGGCTACTATTATAAATTATACGTAATTAATAAATTTATTTAATTTAATAAATAATTTTAAGTTTTATAAAATATAGTGGGTAATAATGTACTTAATGGAAAAAAAGAAAAAAAAAGACAATACGAATTATTATCAAAAAAAAAAAAAAAAAAAAAAAATCAATAACTGATTCAAATATATTATATTACTTGAATAGTGCTAGTCTTATTTTAAATGCAAATATTTATTCAATAATTCATGTCAATTGCACCATAATTTTTTTTTACTTAATACTATAAATTTATGTCAGACAAAGTATAAATCAAAAAAAAATCTGAATTGACATTAAAGATATTTTGTTTTATACGTAGTTAATTATTTTATCATTAAATATATTCTTGATAATATATTTTATTATTTACTATATTTTTTTGTAGAGATTCTAATTTAAAATTTATTGGAATACATTATTGTCAATTTATCATAACATAATTTTATAATTTAAAATTATGAACACATTATATGTTAAAGAATAATTTTACTTGTTATATAAATATTTGATAGTATTAACCTATTATTGAAATTTTTATATATTTTTCTTCCTTGGTTATTTTTTCCACTGATCATTTTATCTGAAGTTTTTCATTTGCTAACTGGAAATAGAATATAAGTACTAAATGGTTAGATTTGTAAGTCACTTAGGCAGATGACCTAAAAACACTGGTTGGTATTGATAATATATTCAACAATACATTTAACTGATCGCAATATACTATTTCATCGCGTGTATTTTATCGATTTTGTTTTTTTATTTCCTACCTCCAGTTGTTGTATTCATTAGATCGTAGAAAATTAAGCTCAATTTAAGTTATTCATGTTTATACCACCCGAACAGCTACTTAATACAATCTCTAAATCAGTAAAACCATTATATCTGACATTAAAAAGGCGTCAATTTTTAAATTACCGATACAATTATCCTAAACTTTACTGCTGCAAGATCATATTTCTCAAAAAAGATTTCTCATATTACGTTTAACATAGACTTTTTCCAAAATAAAATCAGTGGCCCCTTTTTTGTTATTTTAAGTTATATTGTTACATATAATATTTTATGCATATTATTATTTCACCTTACCTTAGTGTAGAATAATTTTGTAAACAACAATGTAGACTACCTAAATTGAAAAGACACGAAAGTTGTCCTTTGAGAAAAAGCAAAACTTGTCCAATTAACCAGCCGTTTATTATTTGTATATTATGATACTATGTTAAAACTTTTGAAGTTTTTGTTTATAATAATTGATAGCGAAATTTAACTATATACCAATTTTTGAAAAAAAAAAAAAAAAACGGGAAAATAAATACGCATAAACTACAATGGGAATAAAATTTAAACTATGATAACAAATTATTTTTCATTAGATTTTCATAAAAAAATTAACGTTCAAAAATCAAATTAAAATTAAGTATTAATAAATATTTATCCCGTAACATATTCAAATATACATTAGAAAACAAACCTTTATTACTATAAATTTATCGAAGAAACGAACTTAAATCACAGTTGTACCCAGTGCTAACTTTAATATTTTCTTTACAATACTATTGAAAAAATAAATAAAAAATATTTTATTAAAATTGCATTAAATTTTAACTCACTAATATACGTGGCTATATTTATTAATTAATAATTAATAATCAAGGTCAATAAAGTAGGTTATTGAAAAATAATAGTTTTTTTTTTTTTTTTTTTAATGTAACAAATATTATACATACCGAATTGTTGTAGGCATTTTCCAAAAAGCTTCATGAACCCAGAGCCTAATTGTACGAACTCCAATCGTTTATCCAATACCAAGTGCCACGGAAAAGCCTTGCAGAAGCTTGTTACACCCATTTTAAGATCGTTGGCTCGATGTGACAAAAATGGAGCAGAGTCTTTAACGTCTTCAGCATCAACTGTAGTCTTTATGGTGTACCTAGGAAATTGTATACATATAGTCTATTAAATCGTCTATAATATATTATTTTTATATTAGATTCGTGTATAATATTGAAGGAATTATTGTTTTCGATTGGAAAATAACAAAGTTATTTATTATTAATTTATTGCAGCAATACGCATATAAACTATAAAAATATTATAGAAATATTAAATTTATATTAGTGGTGAACAAGTTCAATCACGAAAATTGATTACCCTATATAAATTATCTATAAATCGATCAATTTTGTGATCTTGAGAAGTATTCTTCCTAGAATACCCTAGTATATTGTTAAATTAAATAACCAAATACTATTCTAGTCAACGTACATACTTAAAGTCTATATATCATTACGGAGAAACTTATGAGCGGAAGTAAAATATTTAGTTTAGCAATTTCCTTATACTTTCGTTCCTTTTGTGCAGACTAATGGCTTCAAAAATATTCTAACAACAAAGGTAATACAACCTATAGATTATTGATAAAACAGCTTTGTGTAAAAATTCGTCATTTATGATGAACAAAACCATTAGCAATCAAACAACACTGTTGCGTGACCATTATAAAGTTATTTTTTCGATGTTTTTGACCCGATCTGTTCCTTAAAACCCATGTAAAATGTGATCCTGGAGTGTAGGTACTGCGGTTAATGTTCACTGCTTAGAATAGGAATAGAAATGTTAAGGTGGTAGCTTTTTGAGTGCAATCCATCAGGAAAAATCTTTAGAATTAATGATAATGAATATTTTAATCGGACACTTTAAATAGCCCGCACGGAAAAACAGCATTCGTGTGCACAAACAATTAACTGTGTTGACGTGTTGTTTCATCGAAGCACTGACGGGGTATATTGTCCGAATATTAAATGTTAATTACTTTCCAAAAACAGTGAAAACCTGCCCTTTTATCTTCATAATAGTTACGTAGACACTCAAGAGAAACCATCAGAGGTGGTCGACTAACTTTTGCTTTATGAAGATAGTAGGGTCCACAATATAGTATAACAAAAGATTGTTGGCAATGAGCTTGTTGAATCCCATGTGTTTCAGACTTGTAACACTATTACTAAGTTTAATCTGGGTACCCAAATTACTAATGCTACAACGAATCGTGTTAATTTGATTGCATATTATAATATGTGCATGGTATTATATAAACGTGACCGGTCTGTTATAATCGCAAACTAACATTTTGTATAAATTAATTAACTTTCTAGGTAAAGACAATACAATAAAATTTAAATTTTTCATTTTTATCTCAAACGAACGGTTTAAATATTCCTCCTTTCTACTGAATGTCAAGTAGAAAATCATATGATTATAAATTTATCATTTCACTGTTATAAACTATAATAACTATGATAATTAATTTAAAAAATAATAATAATAATAATAATAATTTAAATAATACCTACATAAAATATGTAAAATATTATATTTTTTCAATAGTATTTTTGTTTGTAATGTATTATTATTAAATATTATAGCTTAATAAAATTGTATTTAAAGTATAGCATGATATGATATTTAGCGAACATTTAAAAGTAAAATATATTTATTTTAATTGAAATTACAATAATTTGATGTGAAGTGCAATAAGTATAATATTTTATTTTTCATAAGTATATTTTTTAAACTCATTATAATTATGTTACGTGTCATTTAATATTACTTTCCTTTTAATACATTAAAATTATCGTCAATATTTTCGATTATTTTCTAACATTAATTCTTTCTTTTTTTTTTCATACTTATTTTTAATTAACAAAATTAACTTTAAACTTTAAATAAAATTTTTTTTTTAATCAAAAATTGTATAAATTAGTAATAAATAATAATATTAAAAATATTAATGATGTTTACTTCAATCTCATTAGATAATTAGTATCACACGTTAAAAAAAATTAATTGAATATTTTAAAATATCGAAGTTAACGTTTTGCTAAAATGCTTCAAAATATCGATAACAGTTTAAAACCAATGCAACCACTTGGAGGAGATACTAGATTACTACCACATTTTCATTTTTTATTAAAAATATTAAGTTGCAATTACGAAACATGACAAATAATAGTTACAAATAAGTGAAACTGGCTTGGAGTAGCTTCGTGATTGTTAGTAACTATACATAGTAATTGTGTATAAAACAAATTCTGATTAGAATTTAAATACATTTTTATAGAAACAGTGTGTTATTACTTATTAGGTGTAATCATAAACTCAATTGAATAGAATTATACTTTATTTTAGTCGTTCAAACGGAATACATAAGTATTTTTCTTGCAACTACCGTTTATTAATCCGACATAAAAATATTTATTTTGACAGTATTCCCAAATAAACACATTCATCATAACCTCGGATTTTTAAATAGTTAGTTTAACTTCGTCCAATAATCAACTTACATGGTTATAAATAAAATAAAAACCATATACTCCAACTGAATGTGTTTTAGATATAATAAGACTTATTCAAAACTAAAATCAACTTATTCATAAAGAGACCATCTTATACAACTTCTTCTTACTTGAAAAATTAATATATATATATATATATTGATGTGATATATACATTCTAAGAATTAGTGACCAATTTTATTAATGTTGTGTGATGGGTATACAGTTAACATAAGTATAAATTAAAAAAATGGTTTAATTCATTTAATAACAAAAAAAAAAAAAAAAATGTGTATTTAAACTTCGTTTATTACCTATTTTTATGAATTTAATTCATATTCTTATTGAAAAACTTGAATTTAATTTATAATTTATATTTAATTTTCCTAATAGGTAGACTATATTTATAATTTATATAATTTATTATTATTAACTTTTGAATCAATATCAACTTATTGTAGAACGTTGTTTTGCATAAAAACTAAATATAGGCAATAGCATAACATTGATCAAATTGTTTTAAAAATGTTATTGTGTATGAAAAATGTGGAAATATATGTAAATATTTTCAAACCCCACGAACAATATTTTCAAATTACAAATCGTTCATTTTCGTTTTTTTTTTTTCAAAATGTGTACTAAATTATTTATAACAAATATCTATACTATATAATGTATTCTGAAAAAGTTATCATATCAACGTATAAAAGACTATGTATAAATATATTTTATTTTTTTGATTGAACGGTAACTGTTTACTAATACATTTAATAAAAATACAATAAAAAAAAAAAAAATCAAAATCAAAATTGTCTATAAGTAATTCATAAATTTCAAGATTGAGTATGATGAATATGAATAACTGGTTAAAATAGTACCTCCAGTTATTTGTTTTTGAACTACAACTAATAAAGGAAACTGATTTCTCCAAAAACTAGTTGCGCGTAGAAATTTTTATTTTTATTTCCTTTTACTCTTAGTTATTAAGAAAAGTATTGGACATTTTTAATTATCTCTAAAGTATTAACAAAATGCACTTTTCTGTCATAAAATATATTGAATTTTAAGACCAAAAAATTATTTTCTTCTATTTAAAGCGTCTCATGTCACTTATATAAAAAACATATATATGATACATCACTTAGAATATAGTATAGTGAATTGATGACTACAAGTTAATTCTGCTGTTAATAAACTAGAATTTATAGTATAATCTATAGTTGAAATAATTAAACAACGGTAGGATAGTAGATTGATTAACACGCCATATTGTGTCGTATACAACAATACATATCGTATTTGGCCACAGGCCAGACTTGTAATCAATGGATTCTCTCTAATCAGGTTTACTTGATTTTTATTCAATTGCATTTTATTTATACGCAGCTTCATATCTTTTCCCACCAAGATTTAATCAAAGTTTTCAAAAAAAAAACTTAGTTACTCCTGTTATTTATGTTATGCCCAGTGATGTGTTATCGATATGCAGAGTAGATATTTATTATGTTAGAATATACGTTATCTGTGTTTAAAATATAACCATTTATATTATGAAATTTATAATTTGTATTTCTATAAACTTTTTTTAATGAAAAAAAAATAATGCAAAAATAATTTCTAAGACATTTTTAATTCAGTCAAATATGCAAATAGCAAATAAGTGAATTATGAATTTGGTAAATATGTATTAATTTGTATGAATATCACTCCATTTAGTAAGTTATCACTTTTGAGTTGGTAAGATAAATAGTAAATTAATTGGATAAGAGTCTGTTGTTCAACGCATTGTTGTAAAATACCATTTTAATACATAATACCATAATGTCTCAGAAAACAATGCGAAATATTTATCTTTAAAATTATGCTGTTTTTGAAACAGCATCAAATTATTTAATCCATTTTCTGACTTTTTTGTAAATTAACTTTTAGTGTTATTCTCAAAAAAAAAAAAAACAAAGTCCAAATTTAAATAATTTAAAAAAAAAACATTTTTATAACTTCTGTTGAACATGTATCAGCATTCGAGATATTACGTACAATAAATCGAAAACTCGATAACGTTAATATTTGAAATAGCGAAGAATAATAACGAATTTAATGTTATTTAAAAAAATAGAAAATAATGTTCAATTTTATGAATATTTTTTTTTTTAGTTTTTATCACACCGAAATTTTATTCATAATATTATTATTTTTTTATTTTGAGCACGTCTTGAGAAAAAAAAAAATGTTGTATATATTGGATTATTATTATAATATTATTATGCAAAAAAATGATCATAAAATATTATCTGCTGACCAACGACAACCGTAAACGTTTAACAATTTATTATGATGGTAGATGACCTAGTTTTGAGAGGTAGTTGGTGAGCCAAAATCGGGAAAAACGGGAGGTTTTGGCTTTCAAAGTCCGCTGTTTTTGTGACGTTGATGAATCTGAAAATGCATTTATAATACCGACACGTTAGCGGGTGGAGCCGTCTAATGGGCCTGTAAAATAATGAATCCCGTGAAGTTTATTGTGCCCCCACCGAAAGTTTTGGACGTGTTCCCATACAAATGCATTTCCATACTTCATTCGTAGTTTTTTTTTTATCAGCTTATAGCTTTGGGAAATTCTTGGGTCCGTTCTTATTTATCTCGTTCATTACAATTTACAACATTCATTCACTTCACCCAAAACGTAAAATAAATAATAAGCATAAACCTACTCTACACGTGCGTCATATTATTATGTGAACATATTGTATACAATTTATATGTTGTCGTTTGATGTGAAACTAAATTTAATATCAAATACACCAACCGAGAATCATTCAGAATTCAGATTATTGTAATATAGTATATTAATTTAAATATGAGTAAATTATATTTTATAGGTTGTATGATATTATACTATAATAGAATTATGTTTGTTAGGTATGAAAAAAAAAAATGATTTGATCATAATTTTGACTTAAAATAGATTTTTGTTAATATTAAAGCACTATAATATTTTTATTGTTCATAATTTTTATTTAAATTTGCATTAACTGGTTATATATTAGAGTAAAATATCCATGATAACATTAGTCGAAATATTATTATATAAATTTGCTCATATCAAATGATTATAACAATAATACCAATATAAACGAAGACTGAAAAACTTTTAATTAAATTCATTAATTAATATGTATATTGCCTTTAATTTAAAATATAATACAATATTTTGAGAAAATTAATTATAAAATGGTTTTAAATTATAGCTATCTATTTCATAGAACAGAAAATAATGTTTTAATAGAATATAGGATTTGTTATGTGCGTATAACATAATTTATTCCAGTATTACTGAAGTCACTATTATAATTCCAAATGTTGTCTCGTTATTCATTTTCTTATCATCATCATGTGTTGAAAATATATGAATATTCTAGGAATTACATATTTAAAATGATTTACGAGGTTTGTATAGGCTATGAGATATACGTAAATATGATTATATAAAAACATGCTTTCCTAACATAACATTTTTGGTATTTTAAGATAAAAAAGGTCTGACTATATACAACATTTAAAATAAATTTTATTTAAAATAATATTGGCATTAATTTACTACTAACAATAAATTTTAAAACCCTATTTTTTTTTTTATTTTTTTTTTTGGAGATTTAAAAAATATCTATGATATATAAAATATTTCATGTATGTTTTTATAAATATAGATCAATCATTGTGCTGTTATTTGTAATAATAAATAACTAATTGTATTTAAATTACTTTTGGTTGTATTAAACAATAATTTACAATCTAGCTTGCATTGATTATAATTAACCAGTAAAACGGTAAGGTATTAAGTGCATAGTAAAATCTATTCGTTAAATTGAGTTTGCTTTCGCATTTTTGAGTTACAACTATTTATGAACTTTTACGTGTGTACAAAAATATCAATAAAAATAAGAAGATATTGTATGTATTTGTATAAAATGAATATATTATCGAAATTTAACAATCATATTTAACGATTTTAAATTTAAATATAAATTAATGGTAGAAACTATTTGATCATCAGTATCTTTGATTTCATTTATTATCGATCCTATAATGAAAACGAAATGGAATAAATAATGTCGGCAAGAGATGACTCCACTAATTTTTCAAATATATATTAAATAATTTTAGATAGTTTCGTTGAATTATTTAGTAAATAATTATGTTTTTATTATAATATTCAAATGGCGTCATGTATGAAAAAATGATAAAACATCAAACATTTGGTATATTGTAATTATAAAATATGTGTCACACTGATAATTGTATTATATTTTTTACAATGCTCACTCCATTGTTTGTTTGTAAATATTAACTGTAAAATTCGATAAATTCCTTTATTGGTTTTTGTGTTCATTAAAATTCCATTGCTCCGATTTCAATTTTCGAAAAAAAAGAAATAATAATAATGATGTACTGTGAGTTTGATAGTGCTTTTTGTGTTAATAATTTATGGGAAAGTGGACCAACCCTCAGGGATAGTCATTGCGAATAAAAAATAATATCATAATTTCATGTGTAAGGTTAAATGAAAATAATGGATTATTGGAAACCCCAATAATATACATTTCATTATGTATTTAATTATAGTTTTGCAATTTCGAAATATACAGTTCTAAATACTTCTGATAAATATATTATATACGTAGGCTGTCCGATAAATAAAGTACAAAGTTTTTTTTGGCGTAAACAATAGACGATATCGGCTTGAAATTTCCAGCATTGATAATATATGTAAAAAACAACGTATTCTATGCATCATGACTATTTTACTTTAGTGTTCCGTCGAATACGTAAGTTTAAACATGGAAAACCAATATTTAAGTTTCACAAAATAAGAAGTTCGCGCCGTCATTCAGTTTTTTAATTTTCAAAATATTTCTCCGACTGAAATTCATAGAAAATTAACCGAAGTTTATGGCCCGCACGTAATGTCTCAAAAAAGTGTATCGGTTTGGTGTACAAAATTTAATTCAGGTCGAGAAAGTGTTGAAGATGAAGCAAGAAATGGTTGACCAATAAGCACGTCCACTGCCGAAACCATTGAGGCGGTCGAAAAATTGTTACGATCGGATAGACGACTTAAAATTAGGGAAATGGCTACACAACTTGATCTAACAAAGACCATTGTACATGAAATTGTCCATGAGAAATTAAATTTTCGTAAGGTTTGTTCACGTTGGGTTCCGAAAATTCTTACACCAGACCCCACATTCAGCGGAAAAGACTAAAGCTTGGCTGGAAAAGTACAAGTGGGAATTATTGCAACATCCACCATATAGTCCTGATCTGGCACCTTCAAATTTTTTTTTGTTCGGTCCGTTAAAAAAAAACACTTAGGAGGAACTCATTTTCAAAATGAAGAGGAGGTAATGAACTCAGTTACAGAGTACTTCGATGAAAAATGTGCTGCATAATTCCGAGATAGCATTTTCAAATTATTCCATCGTTGGGAAAAATGCATCAATTTAAATGGTGACTATATCGAAAAATAGCAAAATATGTCTAATTTATTGTGTAGAAGTTTTAAAGTAATAAATTCATTTTTCATTATTCGGTATATTTTTGTACCTTATTTATCGGACAGCCTACGTATCTACCTATTTAATTATTTTAAATTTGTTCAAATACTTTACTTTTATTTCTAGTGTAAATAACTGAATTAACGTTTCAATGTACATGTTTATGAATATATAAATGTGTGGTACAATATGGTATCATGTAATGAAAAAGATTAATAAATAACTATTTTAAATAATATAAATGTATTACACATGTAATTAATATAAATAATTAATCAATGACAGTCTATATTATCTGAATTTTTAATTATCATGTATGCATACTTCATAATTGTATTCACAGATATTTATACCTAGATTATAATATTTTTTTAAAGTTTCTGAAAGTTTAAAGATAATTATATTATTATATTTGTGAACATAATGAAGCTTATTTTTTGTACACTTGAATCACGGTAAACAAAAATTCATAGTTATTTTGTGCAATTGTTTTTTTTTTTTCTAAATGAGAAGCTTAGTTCAAACTTAAAAAAGCTATTATTATTTTAATTCAAAAATCTAAAAATATAAATACATTATATTTATACCTATTAAAATATATTCGTGAATATAGTGAAGATATAGAATTTAACAATTTTCAAAAGTCAAAGATTTTTAAAATTAAAATGTAGAAGCATAAAAAAATTATACAGTATGACAAAATAACTTCGTGAATTATAAATTATTAATATGCTACTTAAGTTTTAAAATTAAAAAACACCTAAAACATATTTATACTCGCCAATTATGAAATCATATATTATTATGTTTATAGAAATTCTTGATAAGCTGTTCGATGAATTAAAAGATAGTCAATGTGTCAAATTGTGTAACTAGCTTTACTAGCTTTTGTTGAGTACAAAATGACTTACCTATACAATGACGGGTCACTTGGGTGTGTGCCAAGTCGAATATCTGGTCGTGACCCGTAGAACCTGGTTGCGACACCGGACAGTGTGCCGGTTAACAAGTGGGCCACACGCTTTCCATCTGATCTACGTGTTCGAAGGGTCAAGTCCAATACACCAGGTTCATCACCTGGCCGGCAAGTTAAATCCGAGCTGGCTTCCTGTAATAGTATAAGATATTAATAAAGGTATCGAATAATAAATAATCTAGTCTAGTATCATAAATAACAAATATAAGTTTTTACGAAAATGTTATAGTAAATATGTCATCAAATATATTTAATAAATTACAAGGATAAATGAAAAATATAATAATTCGTCATAAATGAGTTCAATTATATTGGTTCGAAATACATTTTAAACCTTGGAATATAATTGTTTTTCGTTTTAAATACTTAAAACTTTAGTTCTTAATGAATCATAAAAACTTTAATTTTGTACTCACATTTATTTTTGTGTTAACATGGTTACATTTTAAATTCAAATAATATTTAATGCCTCAAAAACGTCCATCTATATGTTATTATTTTTAGTAGTAATAATAAATGACTTTAGAAAAAAAAAAAAATGTACGGCGTTTAAAATAATAAAAAAATAATATTTCCTCAAGAAGATTAAAAGCATTTAAAAAATAATTAATCTAATTTGTTCATTACATTATTATTGTACCAGATGGAAAAATTAAATTATTAATTAACTGTTTATTTGTTAAATAATTGAATAGTTCCATTGTTCAAAATCTTGGATATTATACTTAACCAAGTACTTGTAATAAATGATTTGGTAAGAAAATAAAAATTTTAATATGCTATTTTGATATTATATATAATATTGGTAATTATGTTATGTATATATTATACAGAAAAGTGTTATAGTAAAACTAAAACACATTTTTTTTTTTTTTTTTTAATGTTGCTTTTAAAAAAGTATATAAGTTATTTGCTTTTATATTATTATCTTCTGCTAGCTGTTATCTTAAATAGGATAGTATTATCGTTGAGATAAAATTAGGCGACAATCATTGGTGGATAATCGTTAAACAATACATTTAAAATAATAAGTAAGTCACTGGTCTGAAGCTTTCCGTTAAACCGAATATTATGTAGTTTTTTGAAATCTGTAATAGTTATATAGGGATGCAAAACGTCTACAACGTTATAAACAGTGAATAATCTAGTAAGATTTTTTCTCAAAATGGTTATCCACCATTACAGTGATATACAACCAAGCACTTTTGGATTGTGTAGTTAATTGTTTGCATCCGTACAAAATACAAGTCGAATCCTTGGGCCATAAAATGGCTACCACGTTAGTGTATATGCGTCTAAAACTAAGGGAATGACAGTATATAGAGATAAAGAATTTTCTTGTAGCTTAACGGAAAGCGTCTCTTTGGGTGATAATTGAATGCGTCGTTCAAAGTAAGAATACGTTTTATAAAATAGAAACAATGTTTACGGACATTCCGAATGGAACGAAAATCGATCTGAATACAAACACGATAAAATTAAATGGTTTGAATCAAATTAATTCAACCTCGATGAATAAATAATTATAAAATTGTAGTACTTTAAGCTAATTCGTTTGTATATTTTGAATTGGTCATCGTAAAACAACGTACAAAAATGTAAAAAAGTTTACTGTGAAAAATCATATCTATATAATTGAAACAGCCAATAGTTTTATGTTTGGTGTATTAGTATATTTTAAAAGTAAATACTTATGGTGTTTCATTGAACAAAAAACATTAACATAATAATATTTTAAATTTTTTCAGCACTAATACAAATGATATTTCGTATTATATCCAAACGCCATAAAATTAGATAAAATCAAATTGAGTTTTCATCTGTTTTGAAATAATCATTGAAATACCTTGTATTATACGTAAAATAGTAATCAATTATTGATAATTTAATGCGAAATATAATTACTTATTACGTTATAAATAATTAAAACACAATAATATAGTTTATACCGTATTATTTAATTAGTTTCAATTTTAATTTTTATGCATCAGATATTTTTAATTCACAAATATTTTAATACCTAAATCCATATAAAAGCGATCCATTTAATAAGTTCAAATTAAATATTTATATTACATTAAATTGTTTGAAATTAAAATTTGAATTAACTTTAACCAACTAGCAAAGCTTTATGGTTTCGATGGATGTTATTTCAAAACCCTTGTATAAAACTATAAAATCATTATAATTAGTTTTACTTTTTTTTTCAGTTAAATTCAAAATTAAATAAATAAGTTGAAACAAAGAATCGTTATACATTGAACATCATAACTTAAACATGAGTAGTGAATATCTGTAAACAGACTACAAACATAAATCTTAAAATTATCAAATTAATAGCTTATTATTTTATCGTGGAAAAATTTCTATGGGCATTAAAGAAAAGAGAAACGTACACAATTATAGTATATTTTATCGTCATAATACAATGAATAATAATAACTTATGATAGAATAATAAAATTACAAAAAAATAAAATAAAAACAAAAAAAGAATTATTAATACTGAACACTACCTGTTTTTTCAATTAAAATATTTGTACGTGTATTATTATAAATGTAAAATAGATAAATTACAATTAAATAAATGATTTTACTATTCAGTTATGATTTAGATTTATAAAAACATAATATTCTAAACAAAAACTTACTATCAAAAAATTGTACACTTGTACACTATTTATTTTTCTAAATAATTTAAGTTTAATTCATAATGATACAAGTTGCATAAATTAGAATCCGGTACTCTAGACTACAAATCAGATAACGTCAAGAGAGCTTGCTGCTATGAATATTACTATATTTATGCGTATAAGTATGTGTATGTGTATGTAGTATGTATGTGTGTGTGTGTGTGTGTGTGTGTGTGTGTGTGCGCACGTGTTTGTGCGTGTGTACGTGTGTTGAGTATACTAACAACGATTATTTTTTCTCTCAGACAAATTCATACATATTTTTTTAAACGCTTACTATTTGTATAAAATGTGATGTATTTTTTGTAAAGTATATAATAGTAGATGAAAAAAAAAAAAAAATAACTTTTGAAATGGCAAAAAAAAACAATGGATATGGTATGCAGATAGACAGCATGTCAGTATAATAGTAGTTTGTGGGAGATTCCGCATTACGTTTTGATATATAATAGTACATATATGTACAACGTAGTATATAAAGTACTAAATAAATAAATTCAAAAACCGCTATGGGTTTTAATTCCCATTAGGGAAATAAGTGTACTATAAAAATTATTTCCAACGAAGTGGTGCGTGGTGTGGTGGTGATATCCTACGGTTTTAACGGAACAGCGACTATCCCTTTCAGTACACCAATATTATACTAAAATATAACATATTTTTAAAACTATTTTTTTTTTAAATATTCACAATAATAATAACACTGTTTTTGATAGTCTTAGGAAATATGAGTATTACAATTAAACAGTATATAATAATACAGTGTAATATTAATATTATTAATTTATTTTTTATTGATGGAATAAATTAGTAACATACGAGTATACTATAAGTGAATGTAGTGATATACAAAATATATTGAAAATATTTAATTAATATACATATGCTATTTTTTAAAGGCATAACAAATAATAAATAATAAGTAACATATCTATTTAGGTACATAGAAAAAAACAATTTATAGACATAAATATGATTAATTAGATTAAAAATAAGATTAAATAAACAGACATCATAGTATCTGACCGACCATTTTTATTATTGAATACGCTCGCCAACTAAAAATGAGTTAATTTTTAGTTTATATAGTATACTCATTTAACATTATTACAAATTAAAATATTTGAATGATTAATAGAAATCAATAATTAAAATTTTAAGATTTTTACGAAAATAAATTTTATAAATTGCAGGTTATCAAAAGCTTTTACGAAAAACAAAAAAAAAAAAAAGTGCAGTTAAATAAATTTAAAAAAAAAATATTTGAATCATTATAAAATGTTTTACTCATTCAATTTTCCATTTTCATATTTCAAAAATATGTTTTCCCAACTGGTCTTGAAAGTTCCTCCTGCATCTTTCACGTACTTCGTTATCCTTTTACCTCAATTTTATCTTACCAAATATTGAGACTATGTACCGTATATTAACTATGTAGGTACACATTAAATTTAATACGTATATCTACTGAGATATAAAAAAAATACTATTTTTATTCCAAGTAGCGTGCAAATTACAGCGTTTTTTACGTACAGTAACATTTTGCTCGTAATGAATCGTTTAATTTATCACATATGATAAAATGTCTACAAGAAAGAAATATTTTACGGAAAATACATTGAACCTTATGTAATAAAAAAAGCAGATTATGATAGACGGAAAAATATTGAACTGAAAGATTGTACAACAAATCATGTATTAGAATTTACTTATAGGTAAAACGATTAGTCTTTGATGGAAAATGCCGGGAAGGCTAATAGAATACTAATACGAAATGTCTTAGGTAGAAATTCGAAAAAAAAAAAAAATGCCAAAGGCAAGTCCCTGTTGGTGGTTGTTGGAAAGAGGGTAAGAAAAGTTATTTCAGATGTCAACGCGTCACTGCAAACTGTAAGATATTAGGATAGATGGAGAAGCTTGGCGGTATAACGTGCAAGAGGCTTTGATGGCCTGTATAATGCTAAAAAAAAAAAAAAAAATCTATTCAATGTATAGCTGGGTCAATGGTAGATTATAGAGGTTAGGTGGTGGGAGGTAAAGTGCGAGGGGAACACAGAACCAGCTACATACTGTTATTTGTATGAAATAGTATAGGTGTATGCCGTTTGCAGAATTTATCATATTACAAGCCCGCAAATAAAATACGTTTGTGAGTCTCTGGGATTTCCTTTAGAATAAACTGTTGATGTTTTGCAACTATAAAAATAATAATCTATTGACTCTAGTGGAAGCATTCGGACAAGAAAATAAAGTTAAGTGCCCGATCTGCAACGTTTTGCGCTATTCGTATATTATGCACATTCGTCCGTATTATTATTTTTATTGTTATTGTTGTGAAAAATACACGCGGTATTATTTTGCACAACTTCGGAACTTTTGATGACGAATTATATGATATAATGATGAGTATGCTGTAGTAGTATGGCGCACAGTATGCGAC